TGGACAGTTTAGAATTTCCTGCTTTGCTGAGAAGTCTGCCAGACACATGTGGCCTGTAGGCTAAAGATGGATGCCCCAACAAACAAGAAACTTTGGGTGACTGTCTAGGAAGCAAGATGTCTCTCAGTTCTAGAGTTTATATATTATCCTTCTATGGTCTTTGATGGAGTTGAAGATAGTTATAACAACACACTAAGAATGTTTAAAATCTTATAGTTCTTACTTGATAACTGTTTTGTTATATATAAAGAAGGGGGAGATGTTGGAACCCAGCCCCCATGGGGTCTCTAAGAGTTGTTTTCTAGCATAACCACAGGTACCTCCTGTTTTCCTGACCTCACCCCACTGGGATCAATATCCTGTTGTGAAACCTTTGACCTGGGGTTTTTGTAAGTTTGTATATAAGGCTGCTCCACAATAAAGGTGGGAGACATTCTGGGAAAAGGGGACCAGGAGTCTTGTGGTTCATCCAAATCTCCAGGCTTTTGCCCAATACTCGGACTTAGTGGCCAAGAGCAGCCACACTGTACTTTCACATATTATTGTAGAAAGGGGCCAGCCAAAGAAACACACTGTAGCCCTGCAACCAGAACCAAAGAATTGCACCCTGACCCTGAAACCAGTGCTAGAGAAAAAGTTTGTCCCTGGAATCAGAGCTAGTGAAAGAAATACACCCTGACTCTAAAACTAGAGCCAAAAATCCTAAAAAGGACCAGTGAAAGAAACACACTTTGGCCCTGAAACCAGAACCAAACCTGACCCTAAACCTGTGCAGAAAACTAACCAATCCCTGAACAGGAGATCTAGCTATCCTAAACTCAGGGATTAAAATCTGATCAATCCCCACCCAGGAAAAACTCCATCCCCATGAGAAACCCTATATAATCCCTGTGCCTGTTCAGCTTCTGGCTGTTTTTGCTGCCTGGCTGTTCTCTACCACCCTGGCAGAGGGCAGCCACTCTCCTGGATTTTTCCCTCCCAATAAATCTCTTGAATGAGGTTTGGGTGAGAGACAACCCTGGGTGGAGTAGAGTGGAACAGGGCTGTAACACTTTTTTTCTGGGGAAACCTTCCCTGGTGAAGCAAAGTTGTTGACTGGAGCCGAACTGTAACAACTTTGCCAGGGAAGCCCTCTCCTGCAGGAGCAGAGCTGATACACTAGGGAAACCTTTCCCTGAAGCAAGGCTGTAAGCTGCTATGCTTACTGTGACCTGTGGTATTCCTGAGTGTCATATTCCATCCCTGTCCATCTGATCGGGCGAAGTGCTTATAATTATAACCTAAAGGAAGTGCATATTTAATAGCTTCTGTGAGAACCAATGTTAAATTTTAAGTTTTAATTACTGTGCCTAAGAGATCCATGAAACAAAAATGCCTCTGACCTTCGAGCACATTGCCCAAGAACAGATAGTTCCTTAAATGATGGAGGATATTATGTATGTGAGATACCAGGTCACATTTTTTCACTACCCTAAACAAGTTTGTTTGACCCATCTGCACCAGACAAGCTTGATCACAGGTGTGCCAGGAGGTTCACAAGCAGTAAGTCAAGATGTATGCTTGTCCCTAATTGGATCTGATGGGTAATACAATGAATTATGGGTTTTCCTTCTTAAGCTCTTGCAAAACTTGATTCAGACCATCTCTAGAAACCTGAACATAGATCTGCCAGAGCCCATCCACCTGGTCAGTCAGTATTTAATTAAAGTTTACTTCAAATTAACTGTGGTAGTGGTCTTATTCTCACCTGGTTGGATTAACACTTCCTGGAATGAATATGCATATCATTTTATATACCAAGATTAGAGATACTGTATAATTACGTTCAATTGCAATAAAAATTTTACCTTAGACTTTGTATTTCACCCAAGCTCGTTAACTTTAGATGTGTGGCTACAGGAACTCTGGAATGTGTTTTTCTCTTGGTCACCCCCACCCCCTTTGGCAATCTACTTTTCCTTCCCCTCTTCTTTATATTTGTAATCTTACTTAATACCTTTTTCCACAAATGATACAAAAATTAATATATTAAAATTAAAAGTAACAGGAACATGTTTTCTAATAGTAAAGTTTACATCAAAATATACACCAGGAGTAAAATTTTCATAACAAAATTCACATGTAATATGTTAATAAAAAAAACTTTAAAATAGAGTTTCTATAGGAACAGCTATTTGTGCTCCATTTTGAAAAAAAAAAAAAAAAACTGTTACTGGGAGCCATGTGACCTAGCTTGGGACCAGTATACGAGTGCTTGTCGAATGGGTTTCCAGATGAGGCAAAAGCCCAGGGGAACAGTCTCACTCAGCATAGACCAGTGGACTTTGAGACAGCACAGAGTACTGCTAGGACCAGGAAGCTTGCATTCTCTCTTTTCTCTCATAATATTGATTCTCTTGGTGGTTTTAGTGTCATTTTGTCAATCATGCATCCAACAGGTATGATCATTCCTGGAAACCCCATTTTTTCTCTACTATTTTCCGCTAAAATTCTTTGGGAGCTGATGTTTCTCAGGTTTCTTGTCTGGGGATGCCAGCTGTCACTTCAGACCCCAGGAACTGTTGTAACTCAGTGCTAATAGGAGCAGAGGCAGATAACCCAATTTTTGTAAATGTGATTTGAACGATACTGTTGTTCTTGAAAATGTGTGCCTATGTTTATCACCTTTTAGTTTTGTATAAACAGGATGTACCTGACTAAATATTTGGCCAAGCTAACAAAATGATATATACTGTTTTGGTTTAAAGATGTTGTGATGTAAAAGTTGGGAAAAACGTATTTGGCATATAATACACACACACACACACACACACACACACACACACACACACACACATACATACAAAGGTTGACACTGGAAGATGAGAAGAACTTGTTTGTTAGTATTGAAAAAGATGTTTGTTTTAGATACATAAATAAAGATTGCTGGAGCTATTCAGCACCAGCCACTTGTGTGAAACTTATTTGGTGGTCAGACACTTCATTGCAGTTCCATGATTGAGTGCTTTCCTGGCATGCAGAGGCCCTGAGTTCAATCTTCAGTTTTCTGAGGAAAAAACAAATTTCATGAAAAGAACAATACTGCTTTTTTCTTTGTTAGTCCTGGTTTTAGAAACAGGCTCTTACTCTTAAATCCAGGTTAGCTTAGAACTGACTGTGTAGTCCTTGCTTGTCTCAAACTAGAGAGGTCCTGCTTCAGTTTTCCAGACTGTATTTACTGTTTGTTTGTTTTGTGGGGGGGGTTGTTTTTTGTTTTTTTGTTTGTTTTTTGGGTTTTGAGACAGGGTTTCTCTGTATTGCTTTGGAGCCTGTCCTGGCACTCACTCTGTAGACCAGGCTGACCTCAAACTTGCTTCTGCCTCCCAAGTGCTGGGACTAAAGCGTATGCCACCAATGCCTGGATCCCAAAGTGTCTTAATTACAAACATGCGTCACCACTTCTGACTAGAATAATACTGTTTTCAAAAAGAAAATATAAATTGTGCCTTTCCTCATCCTATGTTTGGAAGTGTATATGCCCTACCACGTTCACTTCTTTAGTGAGTGTCATGAACTTTTCCTGGGAAGATGTGAACAAACAATCACCCCAGAGACCAAATAAGGGAACTTCCAATGGATTCCTACATCTTGGTGAACAGGTAAGTTTATTGAGATTCCTTACAAAAGTATAGATGACTTAAAGGCAGCTGCATTACTAAAAAGCTTCCCCCAAACACGGGAAATCCCTCATGGAAACTGTAAATCTGAAGCTCCCTGTACAAGTTGCAGGGAGCAGAGTAGGTCAGGTAAGGTAGTCTCCTCCACCTAGTAATTTTACTGCTTGTATAACCTTGAGGAGGAACTCTGTGAGTCTTGTTTCCTAAACTTCCTGAGATTTATTAGTTGTTTACTTCCTGAGCTTTGTAGATTTTGTTTACAACAAGATCTTAATAAGCCTCCCTGTAAGATGAAATTTTTCACTTTGGAAGCAATTGCTACATAGTTTGTCACTTGTAACCATTCTAGAAATGAAAAAGTATGCAATTAGATGTTTTTAATTGTCATTTTTACTAAATTTTTAACTCATATTCAGTTTTTGAAGACAAAAACCAACATGTTTTTCTAGAATAGAATTTGCAGGAAGAGTAACTATGTGTTGATTAAATTTTATATCTATACAAAAAGTATTTATTTGAATGCTATATCATGTATTGGACTAGGAGAACAAGATGGGGATCATGTACCCTGTGCCCTTATGGGGCACAAAGACCACTGAGCTTTCAAGTTAAAGTCTAAATTAAGTTGGCTAGTAATCACTGCAGGGTCTTCCACCTTTCTTCCATGAAAGAAATGTTAATACTTAAGAATCCTGGTTAATCAAAAGAAAAAATTGTTGGTTTTAGTATGCTACAGTCTCTCATAAATAACTCTATATAATCACACATAATCTAGGCAGCATTTACACATCCTAGGATGGACATAAAGCTTGGAGAAGCGTACATGGGTTTGCAGACATGTGAAATATTAGTACTTTGGGGTAAGGTTTTCATTGCCCTCCCAAATTTTAAGTCCAGAATCTGATACATCAACACTAACTTGTTTAAAATGTATACTGTATTCTCTACCCTTCTTAAGATGTTTTCTTACCAAAATGAAATCTTCTGAATTCAATTATTCTGATACTGGTTGGTAGTAATATACTTGCTAAGTGAAAGTAAATAAATCCCTATATTAAGAGCCAGTTCTGTTCAAAGTACCCTGATATTCATATTTAAATTCCATTCAAATATAGATTTTCTTTCCTTAAAATCAAACAAATGGAAACACCAAAGGATGGAGTCTATTTTCTCCTTATTTTGATGTAACTAAATTTTGGTGCTTAGGATTTTGCCATGAGCTATTTATGTCATGGTAACCATAACTGGGTGTTGTGTTCCTACTTTTATGTTTCTCTATACTAGAGCTTTTATTGTGGAAACTTTTTATGGAAAGCACCTTTTTACGTATACAGAGTATAGTAAACCCTATTCATCAACCAACTTGGGAACCTTTAAAAAACTATTTTATCAATTGTTTTCACTACCTCGCTAAGTCTTAGGGGCTTTGCAACCTGCTTGTCTGTCCCTATCTATCACAAAGCATACCTGAGCCAGGCTGCCACTGATCTAGGCATACCACCCAACAAGTCCCAGCACATTTCCTTCTGGAGAGGTTCCTCAGGCTTCTCTGCCATTTCTCCGGGGAGGCTGAGCCTGTGTGGTTGAATCACTACTGCAGTGGTTAAAAGCTCAGATGCAGGGACCAGGCAGATTTGGATGGAGAGGTACTTACTTACTTTCTAAGTGTTATTAAGAAAGTAATTGTTCTTAGCTAAGATAGTAAATGTCTGGTGTAGGAAGACTCTGCATTCAGTAAAAGCAGCAGAGGCTCTTCTATCAGGAATGTTGCAAATGAGAACATGTTGTGCTTGGTTAAGACTTGGGCCATTTTCCTGCTCCAAGCCCGGATCTCTGGCTTCTTGCAGCATAGTGACCTTGGGCAAACCACTCAGCTGTGGAATATTTAATTTCCTTATCTCTAAAATGAGAGCAGAAATATTCCATGATCTCTTGAGTATTTTCTTTCCTGTCTATATTGGGTACTCAAGCTCACTGTATTAAAGACTATAAATTGGTGGCTGGAGAGATACCTCATTGGTTGAGAACTTGTTCCTCTTGCAGAGGACCCAAGTTTGGTTCCTAACACCCACATGGTGAATCATAGTCATCCATAACTCCAAGCACAAGGGATCCAATGTCTTTTTCTGCCTTCATGAGCACCAAACATGTTCATGAGCACCATACTTACATCTAGACAAAACACTCAGATATACATAAAATAAATCTTAAAAGTTTGAGCTGTGAATTTAGAGAGACAGATATAGATATAGACATAGACATAGATACAGACTGCTAATGGCATGATGTCCTTTCATATAGTACAATGACTCTAGTTTGAACCATTGAGCAGCCTGCAAAGATACATCTTCTTAGCCTCATTTTACTCTTCTGAAAATTTAACAACTAGCCCAGAACTTTGTTATTTGTAAAGAAACACAAATGGAATTAAAATTTTATTCACTGCTATTGTTTAATTTACAGTCCATGCCTCCAATGTGAACCATTTGAGAAGTTTTCTCATTAAAAATTTTTTTCAAGCCAATAGCATACTGAATATCTTTCCCATCTCTGGTCAGCTTCAAAGACTTGCTGCCTGAACCTGTTCTGTTGCATAGGAACTGCTTCAGTCTTAGAAAAGCTGTGTTCTGGAGTGAGTGAGCATTCAGGGTCCCATGAGTGACAAGTTATTATGAACAAAGGCACTATGAAATGCAAAGGCTTGTTCTGCTGTGGGGCTGCAGAACTACCTGAGTTGCTCTGGATCCTGTGGTGAGCCAGGCTAGCTAATTCAGATCCTTCTGTATTTATGTCAAGCCCCACTGGGTGAGAGATTGGATGGAAGTACTTACACTCTGTATTTTTCTCCACTAGCAAGGGGGGCAGCTATCTATCTACAGAAGGCAGCCAGACAAGAAAATGCCCCACAAAATGCAGACATGGAATACTGCTAGCATGAAAGAGTACCCAAAGTCCCAAGTCTACCTAGTATGTTTTTAGTATGTATCAAACATGAGTTAAAAGCTTTTCAAGATTTATTATTATTCTTTTTTTCTTTACTGCTTTGCCCCAATGACTGTGCTAAAGGTGGAAAAATGTCATGGAAAAGACGGCTTTATAAGCATCAGATGTGTATATGTGTGACCTCATAATGTTGCTGAGAAATTAAATGACATAATATCCTTGATACACTTTGCAGGGGTTCAGTCCATAGAAGTCTGGCTTAAAGGACTAAATGTGTAACTGCCAATTGGAGCATTTTCTTGTGGGCTTGCAGGATTTATGAACTGTCATAAGCAGGGAGCCAAATGAGGTTTACTACAAAAGAAAGTTTCATTGTTTTGTCATTTGTAAATGTGTACTTATAGGAGTTTCTGTGTATGGTTTAGGGATCATCACATATTTTCTGGGATGATCTCTGCATGATTTTTCTGTTATAAATAAAAACAACTTTAGTCACATAGGGGTAAAGATCATAAGGATCTGGCATGGTACTGAGTAAATACATAATTCCACAATGAAACCATGCAAATGGGCTTAAGGTGATCTGAGCATGCTAATGAAGATAATGCAAAGTGACCTTCACTTTAAGCTCTGCATTGGCTGACTACTCAGGGACACTATGATTGTCACCTTTTGCTTAAAATACTACTCAAGTATAGCCTTGTATCTGCACATAGAAAGCCAAACTCTTTGCTGCAGACTGGGTTGTAGATTAAGTATTGCTGATCACTTCAGGTGTGATTTTTATGCATGTTATAATTTGTCACATCCTATTGATGATGTGGAACATGCTAAGTATAACTAACATTCCTTCAGCATCCAAGAACTTCCAGCCAACTCTTTCTGCAATATCTCACTTTTTAAAAAGTCAGAGGAATTTAAAAAATCTGAACTATGCTGATATTGTTTTTTGAAACACAATCCAACTATTTGTGAATTCTGTTCTTCAGATGATATTGGTCACAGAGGTGTACCAAAAGCCAGTATCCTAACTACTTTTTCCATATCTGCATGTGTTTATATTTATTTATTCCTTCCTTCCTTTCTTTTCCTTTCCTTTCTTTTCTTTCTTTCTTTTTTTTTTTTTTTTTTTTTTTTTTTTTTTTTTTTTTGGTTTTTTAAACAGAGTTTCTCTGTGTGTAGCCCTGGCTGTCCTGGAACTCACTCTGTAGAACAAGCTAGCCTGGAACTCACAGAGCTCCGCCTACTTCTGCCTCCCAAGTGCTAGGATTAAAGGTGTGCAGCATCACTGCCCAGCACATGTGCTTACATCTTAAAGTCAAAACTCAAGGAGTGAAACTTGGAATACTGTAATTATACTAGTTTCACTAGTGAGCATTCATAATTTCTTACATGGAAGAAAAATCAGTTTTTTTTTTCTTCTTAATTTTAGTATCTTTGTAACATGGTGGAGATGCTCTAGTATGGTAAAAGCTTACCTGCAGTTAGGATTTCTAATAATTGTGTCTGTAAAAACAGCCAGTTGGGCCAGAGGTCACATAACATTAAAACATTTATCTGCTGCTTTGTGTTTGTTTCATTTGGGACAGGGTGTGGTGGTTTAAATGAGAAATGTCCCCCATAGTCTCTGGCATTTGAGCACTTGTTCCCGACTTGGTGGTGCTGTTTGGGGATGTTAGGAGGTGTGGCTTTGTTGGAAAGTGTATCACTGGCAGGCTTTCAGAGTTAAAACCTCAGAGTTTGTTCCACTTTGTGCTGACTGAAGGATGTGAACATGAAGCTTCCTGCTCCAGTCACCACGCCTGTCACTTGCTGCCATACTGTCCTAACCATAAACCCAAATAAAATCATCTATAAATTGCCTGGTCCTGGCGTTTTGTTACAGCAACAGAAAAGTAAGAACCAAGGCTTACCTTTAACTCAACCTTCCTGCCTCTACCTCCCAACTGGTGGCATTGAATGCAAGTTGTGCCTGTTAAATCTGAAAAAGACTACAGAGATAACTAATGAACCACCAAAGCTTACAAATAAACAAAATACACAATAGCAATATTTCAAACTTCAGAGAAGTAACAATTATTTAACCTAAGTAAATATTGTACGGAACATATAACAAAAATCATTCTCTTTTATTCATCCATATTTGAAATTTAACTGGGCACCTTGTATTCTATCTGCCAGGCCTGCCTGCAGATATGTCATAGTTCTTTCAAGAAAACAAAAACATTTACTTATTTGTTATGGTGTGTGTATGCCTGTGTGCACACATGCAAGGTCACAGGACAGCTTGCAGGAGTCAGTTTTCTCCTTTCATTATGTGGGTTCTGGGCTTAGCTCTTGTGACTAGTATCTTTACCCAATGAGTCATCTCATCAGAGCATATTTATTTATTTTGGTTTTTTGAGACAGGGTTTCTCTGTGGCTTTGGCAGAAAATCTTTTTTTAAACTGGTACATGTAACGATAATTCTTTCTGCCAGTTGCCTGAGTTCCGCCACCACATTAGAGCCCACAAATAACACACAGAGTCTTATATTAGTTACCATGATGCTGGCCAATGACTAGGAGTTCTTATTTGCTAGCTCTGTCTTAAGTATCAACCATAACCATTAATTTATATAATTTTATAAGGACTTACTGAGGATGCTGGCCTTATGTGTCCTCTCTTCCCAGGGATTACATGGGAGTTCTGTCTTTACTACATTTCCCAGAATCCTCCTCGACTCCTAGCCCCACCTATCTTGCTTTCCTATTGGCCAACGGTGCTTTATTCATCAACCAATAAGACAAACAAATACACAGAAGGACTTCCCCCATCGGGTACATATTCATTATGCATAGTGATGAGTTTCATGAAGACATTGCCATCCATGTACTAGACCATTATCAACCTCCTATGCCCTTTCCTTTTTCCCAGTTCTTCTTTAGGTTTGCTGAGTCTTAGACCTCATTCTGTACACTAGGCATCTAGACTTGTACCCATTTATCTGTGACTGTCTTTGACCCACCCCCAGCCCTGTTTCACTACTTGCTTGTGGTAGCTGCCATTCTTCTAGCCTCTTCTGTGCATTTGATTTCTGTTAATAGGAGAAAGAGCATGCAAAGTTTGTTAATTTCATAATACATGGAGTTTTAGACCCCACAGTTTGCTTTGTGCACAAGATTCCACTTAGAAACATGTCTGGCCTACAAGGGAAGGCCTCACCATCCAGGGGGAGCAGAAAGGATATGTGATAGGTAGGGTTTTAGTTGGGGAGGGAGTGGTAGGGGAGGATGGGAGGGACAAGGGAACTGGGATTGTCGTGTAAAACAATCTTGTTTCTAATTCAAATAAAAAAATCTGCAAAAAAAAAAAAAAAAAAAAACACCTCTGGCCTTTTCACTTTGCATGATGCCTTCTATCCCATGTTTTTTCCAGTGGCAAGATTTTCTTATTTTTTTTAAGGCTGGATAGTATTCTTTTACATAAGTTCTTTTTTCCATTTGTTTGTTGACACTTAGGTTGTTTCATGTCTTGCCTATGCGAACAGTGCCGCAATGAATGCAGGAATACAGGTGTCTTCACACATGGCAACTTCGTCTCTTTGGGGAATATTGTTGAAAGAGAGGTTGTGAACTGTCTGCAAGTCTTGTTTTTTATTTCTTAAGGAATTGCTCTATTTTTTTTTAACATCTTATTTATTTGTTTAATTTTTCTTTCTCTCCATTTTTTATTGAAATTAGAAACAAGATTATTTTACATGTCAATCCCAGTTCCCTCTGCCTTTCCTCCTCCCCTGCCCCCACCCCAACTAATACCCTACCTATCCCATACCCTTTCTGCTCCCCAGGGAGGGTGAGGCCTTCCATAGGGGGTCTTCAGAGTCTGTCATATCCTTTGGGAAATGGCTCCCAAAGTCCATTCCTAAGCTAGGGATAAGTACTGAACTACTACAAAAGGCCCCATAGATTTCCAAGGTCAAGGAATTGCTCTATATACTGGCTGCACTGATCTGTATTCAAAATTTTGTTCTATTATTTAATCATTTGATGATTGAAGATCCAATAGGCATTTTCATAACCTATTGGCTATTTCTATGTCTTCTGTGGGAAATGTTTGCTCATTTCCCTTACATACAGTACATTAAACTACATGTAGTAGGAAAGAAAACCATTTGTTAACCATAACTAGAAATAATTGAATTGTTTAAAATGGATCTTTGGATCTATTGTCTTGAGCTGTCCTTCTCTGAATTACTCTATTCTTTACATGAAGGGCACTTAAACATACAAATCACAATGCATTTTCTGCTTTGTGCTGCTTCTTTCTTTGTTTTGCTAATATAGATAGCTCAGTTGGCAACCATTAACCAGAACTGAGTTGCCACTGTTTCAGGAGACATGTTTATTGGTACTTCTAGGCAATTAGTCATTTAATTAAAGTTAGTTTTAGTCTTATAAAGGGGCTGCCAGCCCAGGATAGTGAGAGATGACAGGTTTAGCTTGTGTGAGGCCTTGAGACCATACACACCCACACCCCCACACTACAACTTTACCAAAGGATAGAGAAGAATTAGAGTTGTAATTACCTTCTAAGGGGTAAGTCAGCTCAGTACTAGATGCTTGCCTGGCATGTGCAGGATCCTGGATTTGATCCCTAGCAACAGAGAAAAAAATTACAACTTTAGAACCATTTTGTAGTTGTTCTTTTAACTTTATGTTTAAAATTTTAGATTAAAGTGCTGTTTATCAATACAAAATTCCTGTACTCATTTTTTGTCTGTAACTTAAAAACAGGTCCAGAATTTTAACAGTAACATTCTGTTACATGAGCCAGCCTCAGTCATAGGGAGTGAAGCAGAGGGTTTCTTAAAAGACTGCCTGGAAACTGCAGCAAGATCCTTGGCTTGCCTGACCTAGTGTGGCCTGAAACTCGTTGACTTCATTTTTCCCTAAGTAAATTTATCTTTTTCATTCTAATTTATTGTTTCATGTAAGTTTCTAAACTTGTCCACCCAAAAATTCATAATATTCTCCTTTTCCGTGTCCATGATATGTTATAAATATGTCTATTTCTGTCTGCTTCACTGAGCTTTTCTGAGACTTTCCAGGCACGTGAGTTTTGCGAGGTTTTTGGCTTTGCTAATCCCCATTGCCCATGCATTTTAAAATTCTTGAAATGCATTCATTCATTCAGATTGCTTTTCCCAGTACTCTTGGTAAGCCAAGCAGGACTCAGAAAACCATTAAGTCGGCCACCTGCCCTCAGTTGCACTAGCTACCTTCCATTATGAAATCTTTGTATACCATGAATAATAAAAACCCAGATATAGATACTGGGGTTCAAGCTGAAGATCAGAAAATCAAAGCAGCCAGCCACTAGCTCTTACCTCTACCTCAGAATGAAAGGATGATCCTGTCTCCACAAATTCTCAGATGGCAATGCACTCTCCATGAATCCTCAGAGGCACTGCTTTGGGATCCTGTCTCCTCCTACTTTATATTCCTCTCTCTACCCAGACATATCACTCCTGTCTCCATCTCTCTAGTGCTGGGATTAAAGGCATGGGATCCCAAGTGCTGGGATCACCTATGTGTGAGCTCTGTTTCTCTTTTAGACTGATTCACTCATATAGCCCAGGGTGGCCTTGAACTCACAGAGAGCCATCTGCCTCAGTCTCCTGAGTCCTGGGATTAAAGCTGTGGCCACTACTTCCTGGCCTCTATGGCTGTGGCTAGCTTTGCATTCTGATCTTCAGGCAAGCTTTATAAGATCATAAACAATATATCACTACATTTTTACCTTTGAGAGATGTGTTATTTAGCAAAAGTAATAAAGCTAGCTAGCTCCAATCATAGTTTTCTCTTAAAATTATCCCTTATAAAAATTAAATAGGACCATCAAATAAAATTTAAAAAGATCTTAAAATCCAAGAGAAGAGCACTTGGGAGGACAATAAAGTAGACACACAGTGCCTTGAAGCAAGCTGGGCAGAGAGAGTCCACCAAGGTTGTGGTGATATGACCTTTGGTGTCCCTTATTTGTGGTTTTACTTTTTAATTAAAATGTGTATTTATATGTAAGAGTACAGATATGGTGTGTGTGTGTGTGTGTGTGTGTGTGTGTGTGTGTGTATGTATGTGTGTGTGTATGATGGCAAGTGGGTACCAGTAGAGCATGTTGGGATAGGTCCTTGCCTTCCATTTTTACATGAGTTGTGGGGATCTGAATTTAGACCAGCAGGCTGGTACAAGTACCTTTACCTTCTCTGTGAGCTCCCTAGCTCTCTTGTGTTTATTTATAAGATACTCAAATGTTCTATATAGTTTAAGGATGTAATTAGTTCTCACTACAAGATATAAGGCAATGAAAAGGCATAAATTTATTAGTTACCCCAAGGACACTCAAACTAATAGAAAAGCATACTTAAGTCTTTATGTCATTTTAGCAGAGAACATGAACTAGTAGCTTACTTTAATACTGGTTTTGGTGTTGTTTTTTCTGTTATTATTGTTTGTTTGTTTGTTTGAGACAGGATTTCTCTGTGTGGCTTGGCTGTCCTGGAACTTGCACTATAAGCCAGGCTGACCTGGACCTCACAGAGATCCACCTGCCTCTGCTTCGGCCTCTCAAGTGTTGAGATTAAAGGCGTGTGCCACCTCCCAGCTCCAATATTTTATTATTTTATGTGTATAGATACTTCACTTGCATGCATGTCTGTACACTATCTGCATGTTTGGCTCCCCAAGGAGGCTGGAATAAGGAATTTAATCCCCTGAAATTGGAGTTTAAAATTGGTGTTAGCCAGCATGTGGGTGCTAGATACTGAACCTAGGTCCTCTGGAAGGGTAGCCAGTGCTCTTAACTGGTAATACATCTCTCTAGCCCCCAAGGAAAACTATTTTTGTGAATTAAAATGTCTAGTAACTAGAAAATCCTTTTTTCCTCTTACTTCTTCTTCCTCCTCCTCTTCCTCCCCCTCCTCCACATTCTCTGCTTCTCTGCCTCCTCCTTTCCTTTGTGTGTGTGTGTGTGTGTGTGTGTGTGTGTGTGTGTGGTGCTGGGGATGAATCCAGAACTTTATGTGTGTTAGGCAAATGCTTTAACACAGCTGTATCCCCAGTCTGAAAGCTAGTAGTTAAATACAAATGCAAATTGTTTTAATTAGTCATTAGTCACTGGGCATATCAATAAGATCTTGCTTAATAAAATGGTTAAAAGAAGTATATAGATGAGGCCATAACTACTGTCTATAAATCTGACTTCAGAAGACTTTTTCAGCTACTGAGAAGCATGATAATATGGTGACCATTAAAAAGTGTCCTTCCCTGTAGTGAGATATCCACCCCCACCCCAGCACCTGTAGCGCTGACCACGCCCATTTGGGAGGTGTCACAGGCGAGGACCTGTGAGGGTAGGGCTAGGTGTGGGTTTCCTACCCCAGCTCTTGCTCTCTCCTGCTTCCAGTCGGGTGACAGAGAGCAGCTTGGGTGGATCCGTGGAGCAGGAACTTGCTGCGGCCATCTGTTTCTTGTGTAAGCTCCTTCTCCCCGAATAAAATTATATTAACCTATATTGAGCCTAGTCCCGTGAATCTTGATCCATATCTGGCACCCAACGCCCAAACCCAAACTTGGTGGGGTCGGTTGACCAACCCAGCCGGACGGACACACGTCGGCGCTACAGGTGAGGGGAGT